TTTTTTTTCAAATTTATTATAAGTTCGGTATATAATATATAGTAAATTACTATATAATGAACTTTTAAAAATTTTTATTATAAGACTCGTCAGTTCGTTATAAACAGAGTTGACTGTACTTTGTCTTACTTTAAAAAAAAAAAGAATGGTGATAATCTTTTATGATCGGACTCTGTAGACATAGTAATGAAGTGTTGACTGCGTAATTTTGAACTTCATAACCTATTATTTTTTGCTATTTATCGTAACTCGTCGTGATTTCTGATTAAATTAGATTTCTTTTTTTCAAAAAGATTCTTTTTAAAAAGATTTTTTGTTTATGAACGAAATAAAAAGACCCTTTCTATTTTTTCTTTTTTTCAGAAAATGGCGAAAAAATTTTTTTCTCAATTATCCCACGATCTAACGAAATTACTTTCGGATACGAAATTTTGTGACGTAACCATTGTAGTTGGTAAAGCTCCTGACACCAAAAATTTCCGAGCCCATTCATCAATTTTATATTATCGATCACCTTATTTTCGACGAGAGTTATCCGATCCAAGTTTTAATTGTGTGTCAAAAAAATTCAAATTTAATATTTCTGTTGAAGTTTTTGAAACTTTACTCACGTATGTTAAAATTTACAAACTTTACGTAATTCCAATGGATGCTTAACTTACCATATTTGTAATTTAAATAAGGTACATCTATAATGGAACTATAATGTTGGAAGACAAAAGTGGACCTGAAATTTTTCGAATTCTGTTAGCCACTGAAAAGCTTGGCCTTTACGAACTTATCACGTATCTTCAACAAACCTTACTAGATCATCATATTGATTGGTTAAAACGTCACATCGAAACCGTAAATCGTGCGAGTTTTCGAAACGATCATTTTCAAGTTCTTCAACAGTTTTGTACCACAAATGACCCTGGAAAAGTATTGAACAATATTAATTTCGATGCTATTTCTGAAAATGCTATGATATCTTTACTTAAACGGGATCATTTTGGAACGGATGAAGTTCAAATGTGGGACAATGTATGATATATATATATATATATATATTATTTTTTTATTTTTATTTTTTCTGGAGTGAACCATTATTCAAAACTTTTGATTATAGGTTCTTAAATGGGGATTGGCACAGAGTCCAACGTTGTTAACTATGGATCCAACAAAATGGACAGCCGATGATTTCAAAACTTTACGGGTATCACTTCAACAATTCCTTCCACTAATTGGATTTCATGAAATGACAAGTCAACAATTCTTTGAAAAAGTGAGCCCATTTAGTAAACTGTTTGAACCACGAATTTATGAAGAGTTAGTTCAATACTTTATGTTGTCAGATGAAAACGTTTCGAATATGAATATACCTGACTTGTCACCTAATATAAAGCATCCATCTTTGAACTCAATGGTTACGTATGTTGATTCCTGTATTCTTTCTACAAAACATGCTGCATTAATTGCTATTTGGATCCGACAAGTTGAGCAAACGATTACACCTAGCAGTCCTATTCATCAAGAAACTACTAAAATTCCTTATAATTTTAAATTATTACTTCGTGGATCGCGTGATGGATTTTCACCATCGACTTTTCACAAATTATGTGACAACGTACCAAATACAGTTGTAATTATGAAAATTAAAGATACAAAAGAACTAATTGGTGGATACAATCCAATCAAGTGGAAATCCACTAAAGGATGGGGGCAAACATCGAGTAGTTTTATTTTTTCATTGGGTGACGATGATATGAAAAATGCTGTTTTGAGTCGCGTGAAAAGAAGAAACAGTGCATTAAATTACGAGGTATAAAAAAAAAGTAAATTTGTTAATATCAGTGCACATACAATATATATCAGATATATATTTTAACCATTTATTAAATATTGCAGGAATATCTTGGGCCATCATTCGGTTTTGATGATATTACGATCAATGGTGAAAATTACAGAGAAGAGATGAAATGTTATTCAGGAAATAATAGTTATGAAAGACCAATTCGATCTGAAGGATACTTTTCAGTCGATGAATATGAAATTTTTCAGGTTTCTGAGGTTTGATTATTTAAGTATTTGCGTCATCTCATATGTACTGTAAATGTACAATCAATTTGGTTTACATATAAACATTAAAGGATATAATATCCATTTGGAGTTCTCTTAGCAAATAGAATCAAAATTTTACTCGGAATTTTTAATCGAATATTTTAATTTTACTATGATTGGCTGCATCACTAACAGTGTACGAAATTCAAGTTCTCAAATGATCTTCAAATCTAGTCAGCTCTTAAGATCAACATACGTTCTCTATTGAGAACAATAAATGTGGCAGATCATAATGAAATCGGATTAAAATGAAACTGGGTACCTTTCTTGCTCATCTTTAAAGCTTATAAAACCCACTTATACTCTTTTATTAATAAAACTAACTCTAAACCCTAACTCTAACACTAACCCTAACCCTAAAAAATGACCCCCAAAAAAATTTTAAATTTTCCTAAAAAAATAGAAAAATTTCATTTTAATCCGATTTCATTTTAATCTGCCACAATAAACAATACCGGTAAATGTCGCGGCTGATGCTAAAAGTGGGATCTTGATTTGAAAATATAAGTCCTGCTAAAATCCATATATACTCTTTAATTATCAATTCTAATGCTAAACTCCTAACCCAACCAACCCAACTCCAAAAAAAAAAACGAAAAAACCACCGAAAAATATTTAAAATTATATATAGAAAATATTTTTTTACTATGAATTCATTATCTATCGGGTTTACAGTAGTGAGAAGTGACCCAGATCATGGTGATTCGAACTGACCAATAAAGTACACGATAGACTTAATAGTAAGATAGTTTAATAACTAGTTGATAATAAATCGATTAATTGTTTAAAAATTTTCTTAAATCGATTAGTTGAAAAGTTGTTATCTATTTGATTTTTTACCTAACGATTTGGATACAAAAAACATAACAACATGAGTTCTTAAAAACTGCAAAGCATACTAACTACAGAAATATTTTAGAAAGTAAAGTAATATATTGCAAAATAATATTTAAAAAATTTATTAAAACTAGAAAGAATATTATAATTATAGCTAAATTTGTATAGTTTTATTAGCTAGTAGTTATCAATTCTAGAAGCAATAAATATAAAAAAATTATATATTAAGTTGGAAGAATTTAGTAAAATATTGCAAAAAGTAGATAGAAATATATATATATATATATAGTAATTTATAAGATTAAATTTAGGGTTCCTAGTTTAGTCCAGATTTAGGTTCAATGAACCTAAGCCTGAACCACAAATTTTGCAGATCATTGAACCTGAACCTGAACTGAACTTTGAATTTATGAACCTGAACTGAACCTGAACTTAAAGTTTTGATTTAGTTCAGGTTCAGTTCAAAGTTCATGAACATGTTCAGGTTCAGTAGTAGTTCAGTGATAAAATATAGTAAAAATTTTTTATTGTCTTTAGAATTTTCAAATTTGAAATTTCTTAAAGAAATCTTTTTTCTTTACTAAATAAACCTATTTTCAACTTTTAAGAAAAGTTGTAGAGGAGTATCTTGTGATCAGAATGGCGGTTAAAACGTTAAAATTGGCCCAGTAAATCATGAGATATAAGTATCTTAGTTCTTATAACTATATATTTTCTTTATATAAATAAAGAAGAAATAAATAGCCATCAAGACAAAAATACTTATACCTCATGATCTACTTGGCCGATTTTAATTATATAACCACAATTTTTATTGCAAGACACTCCTCTACAACTTTGATTAGAAGTTGAAGAGAGATTTACTTAGTAAAAATTTAAAATCAATAACATTTTGTATAATTTTATTAATAAAATTATAAAAAATATTATAATCCTCAAAATTTTACTAATTAATCATATCCTTAAGTTTTAAGTAACCTTGTTTTACACATAAAACTACACTATATCAACATATGTTTATATTATGATTTTAAATTTTAAGAAAAATATTCTTAATTTTGAAAATTTTGATCAAAAATTTAAAATTAAACAGATTTTTCTTAAATTTTATAAATATAAAGCAAACATATGCTAATATGATGTATTTTTATACATAGAACAAGTTTACTTAGAGCATAAATATATAATTAATTAATAAAATTTTGAGGATCATGGAATTTTTTATAATTTTATTAATAATTATAAA